CTTAATGCATTTCTTCTTCTCTCTTCTTCTTTGAATTCATCATTTTGTCGTGCAATTTTCAGAGCTTCGACTCTTCTTTTATTATCTTCTGTTTTGAATTTTTTTTTTTTTTTTTTTTTAGAGCTCTTTATTAAGGGATATCGTCAACAATATCCCATGGCTATGAGCGAACTCGCTCCTGTAGCCTGAAAAAAAAACCAATTTGAAATAACAAAGGGAAATAACGAGCCGAAACGGCAAAAAGAATACAAATGTCAAGATCAAAAGACAATAACAAGAACAAAAGAGTAGAAGACGTAATAGGAATTGTGTTTCAAAACATACTTAATTTCGTGGATAAGGACTACTGATTTAGAGTGAGATTGAAAGACTAGGAAGACAACACCGAGAAGCAGCAGTTGTTTTGACGAGAGTGGTCAACGAGGATAAGATAAGATATGATCAAGGAGGGTCATACGATTTTCCGTTATTAAATCCCAAATATATTTGCGGATTCTACCTCTTTCAAAGGTAGCTTTTCTTTCTATCGCTAGTGTTGGATTGTTTACATATTCGTAGACGTATAGAATTGACATTTTGTGTTGTAAATAATCTTGAATAATACTAGGATTTGTTCTAATAATTGTGTCCATTAGTTTATTCCAATGTGCTGCAGTAAGTTCGGCTATTGATCGGTATTTGGTCAAATGCGTAACTTCGATATTTCTGGCATCATGCCAATTGTGGATAATTCGAAAGATTTTACGATTTAGTCCTTCTAATTGACCTTTCTTGCCGTCCGATAATATCGGATACACATTGAGCAGCGATTGGTAATAGGGACGGATGTATGCATTGAATAATCTGAAATTGATTTTTTCACAAGTCATTCTAGTCGATGTTAACCGTTTGAATATCTTCAGATTCGAGTTGATTTTCGATTTGATGTAATCGATATGCGGATTGAATGAAAGTTTCTCGTCAAGAAAGGTGCCCAAATATTTAAATCTATTGACGTGATTGATAAGGTGACCCTGGCAAACGATTTCTGGTATCTGTGGAGCAACTTGTCTGTTGAATAACATCCAATGGGTTTTATTGAAGTTTATCGGCTGCTTCCAGGATTTAGAATAATCGATGAGTCGATTGAGAACTTTAACGATTTGTTCAGTGATGTCCTTGATCATGTTCGATGGAGCTAACGAAGAATCCGGCGAAAATAAGATAGATAAATCGTCGGCAAACAAATGTTTCCAGTGAATAGTTGTCAGCGAGTCAAGGAGATCGTGATGGTAAACTATGAACAAGACAGGACCGACCACACTACCCTGAGGTACTCCTTTAGCTAGATTGATCACAGTGGACTGAGATGATTTAATGTCGATGAAGGCCTTTCGATTACATAGATAGTGACGCAACCAGGAAATTAGCGTCATGGGACAATTTAATTTTGTTAACTTGATCCATAAACCATTAAACCATAGCTGATTGAATGCGGTACGAAAATCTACAAATAGACCACCAGCTGCTGTATGTTTCGATAGACTTTGTCCAATCTGGTCGACAATTGCCACCAACCTAACTGCCATATTATGTCCTGGACGAAAACCGCTTTGTTCATCTGGGAGTAAACCTTGGTCATTGATCCATTGGCGAAAATGAAGCAAAAAACATTTTTCGAATAATTTCGAAAAACAAGGTAAAAGAGAAATTGGTCTGGTTTCATCGATGGGAATTATTCTTGATTTTGTTTTGGATAATAAAATCATTTTGGCTGTGTGCCACTGAAGAGGAGTTTGTAACGACTTAGCGAAATTGTTGAAACATTTCAGTATAAAGGATAGATGATTCGATGGGAGAGTTTTGATAATTCTGTTTGAAACACCATCCACACCAGTAGAATTCTTATTTTTAAGTGATGAGATGGAACGTTTCAAGTCTAGATAGTTGATAATGATGGAAGGAGGTGGATTGTTCTTCAAAACGTTTCCAATTTCAAGATCAAGATTTTCTGCTTCAGCTTCAATTTCTGAATGATCGGGAGGATGACTGGAAAATTGAGCTTCATAATGGCTCTTGGCAATCGAACACATTTCTACGGGATCAACAATGATATTGTTGTTACACCTGAAACCATCGATGGGAACAGCACCAGATTTAAAATGCCGATTAACCTTCTTCCAGAACCGTTTTGTATCGCAATCATTCAACGAGTTGCAGTACTTTAACCATGATTGTCTTTTGTGTTGGAATAATACCTTTTGGACCTGTTTTGACAAGTTGTGCAGCATCTCCGAGAAGAACGGGTGACGAGTACGACGAAAAGCCTGGAGATATAATCGCTTTTGTTCGATCATTTGGACGATGTGGTACGGAAGAGATGGTTTAAACGGATGGCGATGGGTAACGATGGTAAATCGAGCCAGACAGAGTGACAAGAAGCGTTCGTATAGTGAGAAGAATGTCGTTGAATGAGTCATTTGCTCTGCTAGTTCTTGCCAGTAATTGCCAACAAGTGTTATGAAGAGCTCAAGTGCTTTCCAGCTGGTACGTTTGATCGGAACTTTTTGATGAGAGGATAGAATTTTCAGTGAAGGTTGCCATAACACAGGATAGTGATCACTACCGATGGATTGAAGAACAGAAAACGAGGAAGATGCCAAGTTAGAAGGAGCAATGATGAGGTCGATGGTTGCACTTGAGCGTGTGGAGGTGGTTGAGTATTTATTGATAATTTCCATCAATGAATGGATACCAGATGAAGATAACCAATTAAACATGGAGAAACCTTTTTGGTTCTCCATCGATTTTGACCAGGATCTATGTTTTGCATTGAAATCACCAGTAAAAATAGTGTTCGGATTGATATGGAGAATACGATCAAAGATTTCAAATGGGATTTGTTCGGTTCGTGGTGAATAACAGGTCACTAATTGGAATACATCGGTACTTGAGCCAAGTTCAAGAACGATCAGATTATCTAACTGATTAAATTCGTTTGGACGCCGACATTGAATTGACTTGTGTACGGCAATAAGAACACCACCAAAGGCATTTGTTCCTTTTGAGGTAAAGACATTGTAGTTAAAGAAGTGGGATGAGAAACGTTTCGTTGTATCATCATCATGATAAGTTCCATTGAGGATAACAATTGGTGACGACGTGGACTGGATTAAGTTGAAAACTTCAACAAGATAACGCTTTAAGCTGGTAACATTCAAAAGAAGAATAGAGATATTGTGACAAGAATTCATCAATGATGTTGATTTATTACGATAATCAGACCAATTTCCCAGTAAAGTATCCAGACTGGGTACATTTGTCCACTCTTGAAGTACTGCTTTCAGGATGTTTTCTTCGGCTTTCGTTAGATAATTTGAAGGAATAACAAACGAATAATTAAGACTTGGATGTGGATTAAATATCCTCGCCGATGGATTCATACGAGGATGATTTCTTGAAAACTGATGACGAAAATTGATTAAGATTGTTTTCGAACGATTTTGTCAGTAATTCTAAGCCTTGGTTGAAGTTGGAGATCAATGGACGAAGTTTCTTCTTGTTAATGTCTTGCTTCTTACCCATTATCCCTTCTCCAACTTCCACTATCAATGGACAAATCTGTTCGGAGAGAAAAATTTTGAGTAAGTTAATCGTTTCTTGACACGATCTAAGTTGTTGGTTGACGTTGATGAAGTTCGTTTTGAGATTGTCATGTTCACCAGTTAAATAGTCGATTTTGTTCAAAATCAGATCCAATTTTTTTGAAATTTCTATCGATGAGGAGGAATTTGAGTTTTCAAGTGATGTTGGAGCCATTGCCGTAGTTGACGGTTGACAGTCAGAGGTAAACATTAGATTTGTTGTGGTTGTCCAAGCAGTGAAAGCAGCTTTGGTTGGATATGATTTATATCCATTCGATGTGATCAGATTTGATTTGCCTTTATTACGTTCTGCAATTTTAACTCGACAGCTGGGATTACCAGCGAGATGCTCTTCTTTACAATTTGCACAACAAATTTTATTTGAGCAGTTCGGATTGTATGGATGGTTTTGTCCGCACCGGAAGCAAATTGGAGTGTCTTTGCGTGGACAATTAGCTGCAACATGATCATTGTATTGTTGGCAATTATAACAACGAAGAATTTTAAATGGTGGATAATATTGTTGAACAGGAAAGGATGTGTTTTCATCATCGAGTAGTAATCTTTTGTGCTTGAGAATTTTTTGTACGTCTTCATTTGAAGAAAAATCAATACGAACTTTAGCAATGGGAGTACCACCTCTAACCAACATTCGTTCGACTTTGACAATGGATGGATATTGCTTTTTGACATCTAATTCAAAATCTGTTAAGTCCCATTGAGCAGGAATACCAGTAGCAATTAAGGAATAGGAGGTCGGAACCTTGGATGGAATGTCTACAATGTAATTACATGAGCAGATGGTTAACGGCCATAAGCTTTTGTTGCACAAACGTTCAAATTGATGACTCGAATTTGCATACAGAAGAAAGCTTTTTCTATTTCCCATTGACGAAAATCGACCGTAAGACAAACTAATTTTGCAAAACTTGTTAATATCCTTAATGATAGCTAGTTCCGATGGAACTTTGTCACTAACGAAGTTAATTTTGAATGGAGGAAAAGTAACTTGGCGTGCACCTGCAATCGAACCGAGGTGACTAGGACGTGTAACTGTAGATGTGGTAGTTGTCGGACCATTGCTATTGTTGTAAAAGTATTTGTTGCTGCCCGGAGCCAATCGGTGTTCGCGTTCAAATGAGTCATCACCTCCTTTGGATCGTTTCGATGGGTTATAATTAAATTGTTGATGTTGATCAATTAAGATATCTGTTCTGTTGATGGGAGTTGCCTCCTGATAACTCGCAAGGAGCTCACCTTGTTGCTGCTCAACGCCACTAGCGTTCAGCATTGTCTATTGAAGCAGTAGCCCAGATGACTCACTGCCAATGGATGAGAGAAGTTTGTACTTTGTGTGGCTTATAGTAGCTCGATAAAATGACGAATGATTCTGTTTTGAATTCACCATCTTGTCGTTCAATTTTATGAGAGTTTGCGTGTCTTCTATTGTCTAACAAGCGAAATTCATCATCAGTTCTTCTTTCTCTCATTCTTCTTGTTCTCTCAGCATTTCTCTGGGATATAGATCTTTTTTTAAGCTTTGGCATTTCTTCAAACTAGCTCAAAATACTTTTGATGTGGCTGATTTTTTTCCGGGCCGTAGATAATGAAATAAAATACGATCAAATTAGTCGTTAAAATTTTTAATGAAAGCAGCTTCTGACTTAGATTACGCACGTGTATATATCGAGTGCGTCTTCTACTTAGTGAGACACGCGTTTATCTCTAAACTTAGTGAGATAAAAAAATGCAAAAGTTTCTTTCGAGATAAATCTTCGTTAAGACTTGGTGAAGAATATATACTCGATACGAAGCAAGAAACCTTAGAGAATCAACAACTTGATAATCTTTTTTGAATAATAAAAATTCAATTTTTATTTCTTCTATTTGAACAAAAAGTTTATTGTTTATTTCCTTTATTTGATTGAAAATAACTGAAATCTAAAAATGAAAAAAAAAAAAAACTATTATCCATTTCAAATTAAAAGAAGGGTGAGTATTTGTGGAATAATTTTCGATAGGAACTAGATATAGATCTGCGGTTTTCACCGTTTAAAAGAGAAAATGAAACTGCATCGAATCCTGAATACCAGACTTTTCTGACAAGTTTTCTCAGGACTACCCGCCAAGTTTCTAAAACAGAAAAGATTGGGTAATGTAAATGTTTTGGAATTTTGTTTTTCAACAGTGCAACAGAATCATTAACTAAAGTTCAATAATCTGTACAAGTTCGGCGTTAAAAGGCTTAGCCAATCAAGAGTTATTAATGTTTTACTTAAAGTTTTCGGTAGATTTTTAACAAAAAATTGACATTTTTTCTAATTTTTTGACGAAAAATCCACTTTCTAAACCTATTAATAAGCCTCGATTTTTTAAAAAACTAGCCGGGTGGCTTTGAGAAAACTTGTCAGAAAAGTCTGGTCTTCAAGATTCGATGCAGGTTCATTTTCTCTTTTTAACGGTGAAAACCACAGATCTATATCTAGTTCCTATCGAAAATTATTCCAAAAATACTCACCCTTCTTTTAATTTGAAATGGATATTAGCAGGGCTGTGCCGCCAACGGGGTGCAAGGGGGTGCGCACCCCCCACTTTTAGAAAATTTTCACTTTTGCTCAGCAAAAATCCTATTTTTTTTGAAAAAAGATCATTAAATAAAAAAAATTGGTTCTGCCCCCCCCCCCCCCCTCTCCACTTTTCTCTGTGCGGCACATCTCTGATTACTAGTTAATTGGACATATTCGTTGACGTTGACTATTTCTAGATTTTCCGATATCATATATATGTAACACGTATCCTCTGATAACTCTATAATAAATATGTCCATAGTCTTATTGCATAGATAAATTTTATTTTTGCACATGATATTATTTTTGTTATTTTTGTTATATTGTCTATGATATGTTTCATAAAAATATATTATTTAATCGAATGATTATTAAATTTTCTTTTACATTGAAAAAAAATCGAACAGTGTCAACTTTTTTTTGTCTTGTTTTTCTTATTATATTAACTTGTTATGAATTCATAGAATATCTAATGATTTAATATTCATAGAATGATTAATTAAATTATATTATTTATCTATTTATTTAATGTTCACATCTCTTTAAATTAAAAATATATTCGACATTAATATTTATTTTAATTTTAATTTATTCATATATTATTGACAATGTTAAATCTTTCTGATTAAGATTATTTGGACAGTTTATATTTAATATTTAATATATATTTGACACGTTCAATGTATATTTATTGATTTAATCTGATAATATTAAATATTCTATTGAAATTTGCTTAATCTATTAGAAATATTAAATTTTCTCAATTGTTTTCATTTGATTTCTTATAAATGTCTGTGTATTAAACATACACAATTTAATATATTAATTGAATAGATTTAATACTAGCTGTTTTTTTTTATTCTATAGTCTATAATTATTTTTATGATAAAATCTATCAATCAATCGAATAAGATACAAAATCATTTTTATCAAATTCATTCCGTATATATAGATATGATACTTAAAAGTAAAAATGTGCATTCAATCGAACGTAACTTATTTATAATATTTCTAAAATATTCTTAATTATATAAGATAAAGATATTGAATGAATATTTTCGAAGTTTTGTTTTTGTATAATATGAATATTTGAACGATTCTTTGGTTTATTTATATAGAAGATTTTTTTATATAAAATTTCTTGTGAATAAGAATCTTAATGAAATCTTGATGGAATTGTTTAAGTTTTTGAAAAAACTTCTATATGTTCAGTAGAAATTTTCTGAAAATCAAATGAAAATATTCAGTAGATTAATAAATATTTATTGTTTAGAATTTTCACAAAATTATTTTAAACTGTTGTTAATGATTGTCTATATATAAATTGTTATTGTCTAAGAATTCTTTTATCAATATTCTTAAGATTTTCTCGAATTTCATTTAGAATTAATATTATACAGTTGAACAATCTATTATATTTCATTATAGTTATTATTATTGAAATAAATATAGAAATAAAAATTCTTGAATAGTTAATTTATTTGTTTTTAATATAGATTATTTTAATAAATATATATAAACATAAAATAGTTTAATCTGTTTTAAAATAAAAAAGATTTTTTAAATGAATTAATTAAATTATAATAGAATATTTGTCAAATTGATTTAAAAAAACAAAAAACAAAAACTTTTATTTAAAGAAATTCAAATGAAATTTAGTCAAACGATAAATAAAATAAATCTTAAATAAATAATATTAGTGACAAATCAGTTATTATTATTTTCCTTATTTATCAATGATCAATTAATTCTCGTTTTTTAGAACAACTTATTTCTCTTTCTATATATATTTAGGTAAATAAATATTGTATCCAATATGTTATATTATTTATAACGTTTGTTGTTGTGTTTCTTTTCTGTTCTGTATTTAGTTACACAAAAATAAAAAGTATTTTTGTTTTTCGTATGCAATTATAAAAATCTAATAAAGTAAATATGACTCATTCTATAATATATAGTTACAATGTTTGTTTAACTAGTCACATGTATATTGAGAATAACTACTGTTAAATGACAATAAATGACGTATTAATCAATAATAATAGAGTTAATTCGAAGACTGAATAACATCAATAAGAAGATTTGTTTGAGGAGAATAGGGTTTATGTAATTATTCCCTACATATATGCAAATATCCAATAGTTTAATCTTTGATTATTTTAATCATCAGTGAAATCATAGTTAGATTACTAATTTCAATTGATAATTACATATAATTATATATTTTTATTTGTTAAAAAATCAATCAGTTTTTATATTTTTCTAAAACTTCGATGTTCTGCTTAACTAATAATCAATTCAAATTCTTATAATCATATTATAATAAATTTGCTTAAAGAAGATCTGTGTTTTTATTAAAGGTGAAAATAAAGACTGATAAATATAGTTTTTTTTAGTCTTCAAATAAATTAAGTTTATTTTGTTTTGTTTTGTTTTGATAAGAATATATATGGTATTCTTTCTTTTTTGTTGTTAGTTTCTATTGATATAGATTGATAAGTGTCTCTAGTTATATCATACATATTATTCAATGGCACAAATTCAAGTGACTATTGTTGAAGGTAAAAATTAAAAAAAAAAAGATTTATTTAGTGAAAGTGATCTATTTGTTGAAATATATCTTGATGATAAAAAACAAAAACAAAAAAGCGAAAGTGTACATCCATTTTTTTCCGCTCCTATTTTGTCCTAAATATTTTATATCATGCACAGTAAAACTAGAACGAGAAACGAATAAACTACTGAAGATACAACTCATAAAGACTGCTGCTAAGGAATGAATGACTTAAAATAAAGGAGTTTACGCTGATTAGCAAGCCGGCCATTACAGCCGCAGAGTAATTAACGGATAGTTTCTTGTTTTTTTAAATGATTACTTAAATTCATTTTATTTACTGTTGGATTATTGAGACTGAAATTTAGTTCTTTTAATGGTTCTTCAAATGGATATATACAATTATTTACATCAATATTTAAAATTTTATCTTAAATTTTTTTAAAAAGATTTAGTTTTACTTTGCAAATGAAGTCTTAATAAAACTTTCCAAAGGACAATTCAAAGTGCATAAACATCACATTTAAGTAAAGATGTTTCCACACATTCAATAGTTCCAGCTAAAAGTTCTGGAGACATATAACGAGGTGATCCAATTTATTTTATTTTAGATGAAGACTTTTATTCAAAAAGAGAAAAGAAATACTTGTTGTTGTTGATTTAAACCATATATTAATGTTGTTGACTTTGAATTGACATAGCAAAATTATAAACAACACTAATATTCAAATAAAAGATAAATGCGAAAACCTCGGATTTAAATCCGAG